CACTGTACCCTGGGTGAGTGTGTAACAGACTCAATTGGGATGGTTAAATCCACCTGTACCCTGGGTGAGTGTACCACAGACTCAATGGGGATGTCAAATCCACTGTACCCTAAATGAGTGTGCCACAGACTCAAAGGGGAGACCAAATCCACTGTACCCTGGGTGAGTGTGCCACAGACTCAATGCGGAGGTCAAATCCACGGTACCCTGGGTGAGTGTGCCACAGACTCAATTGGGGGACCAAATCCACTGTACCCTGGGTGAGTGTGCCACATACTCAATTGGGATGTCAAATCCACTGTACCCTGGGTGAGTGTGTCACAGACTCAATTGGGAGGTCAAATCCACTGTACCCTGGGTGAGTGTATACCACAGACTCAATGGGGATGTCAAATCAACTGTACCATGAGTGAGTCTGCCACAGACTCAATGGGAAGGCCACATCCACTGTACCCTGAGTGAGTGTACCACATGAATGGGAGGTCAAAGCCACTGTACCCAGAGTGAGTGTACCACAGAATCAGATGATAGGTCAAAGTCACTGTACCCTGGGTGAGTGTGCCTCAGACTCAATGGGAGGGCCAAATCCACTGTACCCTAAGTGAGTGTGCCACAGACTCAATGGGGATGTCAAATTCACTGTCCCTGTGTGAGTGTGCCACAGACTCAATAGGGATGTCAAATCCACTGTACCCTGTGTGAGTGTGCCACAGACTCAATGGGAAGGCCAAATCCACTGTACCCTGAGTGAGTGTGTCACAGACTCAATTGGGATGTCAAATCCACTGTACCCTGTGTGAGTGTGCCACAGACTCAATTGGGATGTCAAATCCACTGTACCCTGTATGAGTGTGCCACAGACTCAAAGGGGAGGTCAAAGCAGACTCAATGGGAAGGCCAAATCTACTGTACCCTGTGTGAGTGTGCCACAGACTCAAAGGGGAGGTCAAAGCCACTGTACCCTGGGTGAGTGTGCCACAGACTCAATGGGGAGGTCAAATCCACTGTACCCTGTATGAGTGTGCCACAGACTCAAAGAGGAGGTCAAAGCCACTGTACCCTGAGTGAGTGTGCCACAGACTCAAATGGAGGCCAAATCCACTGTACACTGGGTGAGTGTGCCACAGACTCAATTGGGAGGTCAAATCCACTGTACCCTGGGTGAGTGTGTCACAGACTCAATTGGGAGGCCAAATCCACTGTACCCTGGGTGAGTGTGCCACAGACTCAATGGGAAGGTCAAATCCACTGTACCCTGGGTGAGTGTGCCACTGACT